CCCCCACCCCCATCACAGTACTCCTATGGCACGCTGGACATGTAGATACTATGGTTTCCCAGCACTGTGACCTCTTGGTCAAACGCTGCTGCATTTTTAACCCTGTTTAAACCCACTGAGGGCCTGAGGGATGTGTCTGTCCCCCTCTGGCAGCCCCTCAGCAACAGAAGAAGGGGACAGGCTACGAAGTCAGCAGACGGTACCCATCTGAGGCCTGCCTCCTACCCCATGCGTTTCTAAGGAGGGTGCCCGACGGTTGGCTATTTTTCCTTGGAAGCAAATATAAGTCCATCTCCCTCAGTCTCTAATTCTGCCTGTGAACTGGCACTCGGCTTCCTAAGAATATTATCCCTTGCTTATAGAAAACCTTCAAAGTGTCTTACCATGTGAGGGAGTGGATGCTTCTGAAAATAATTTAGACATTAATCCAATGGATAAAAGAAGATGCCCTAAATAGTGGAATTTTTACACTATTTCTAATATGTTTATACCATATTCTAGCTTATGAAGTCCACTCTACCTGGAATTTATATGGTTCTCTCAGCTCCTGTCCAGCTGGACCACTGTAGTCGCTACGTCTACTATAGGAAACCTACAACCTCAAGTGACAAGCAAAACTCTATCTTCCTACCTAGAATTTTACTTGGGTTAGAACTGTACTCAATTACTGTGCAATTACTGTCTAAAATGAAGAGACCATNGTACTCAATTACTGCGCAATTACTGTCTAAAATGAAGAGACCATGTCTGTAATAAACTTCTGTGCAGCGAAAGAAAAAAAGTTCATCCTTATATTCTCTGTTCCATCCAACTGGGCCCGTGGGTGGAGCGAGGGAGAAACCACCACCCTGTAGCGACTGTGGGTAAAAGCACCGATATGGGGAAAAATGTCAAAAAGTAAGTTTCCCTCCCTGCACCTGTTCCTGTTTGTGAAACTCCTTGGCTGAGACAGACCAAAGAGAGCGGGAGGTCAGAGGGGACCCCTGGCACCTCCTCTCTGGTTTGAATGACCCCTTGCCATCTGGTCTGCAGGCCTGCACCCAACCACCCCGCACACAGGAGTCACACTCGCTGTTTCCACTTTCGCCACCCAACTTCCAAGCCATTTCCCCTTTTCCACCCTAACTTTAAAGTCCTATTTCCTTCACTCCCTTATGAGCTCGAACTCTTTAAGGGGCTCACATTGTAAATGAGACAGGCCACCAGAGTGACCCAGTTCATGCCCGGCAACCCAGCAACGTCTACGAACGGGCGCAATGGTGAAAACCCATCTCCGCTGGCCGGGTCAGTGTTCCAGTTTATAAAGGGGGATTTGAAAGCATCGGGGAACTTGACCCAAAGGGCAAAAGCGGCTTCCTGTTTTCACCAGCAGAGAGTTTAGGTCAAAACAATTTCTTGGAAAATGCCTCAGATCTCCACGTGGCTCAGTTTCATAAAAACGTCCTACTTCAGTTCACCGGTTTTCCTTCCCCCCCTCAAGAAACACTCAAGTGCTGACGTTCTGGTTGGAAAGGAGGCCTGAGTTAGTACACCAACATAATAAATGATTCCCACAAGGTCATTTTCCTTTTTAATAAGTTTGGTGTTAGGAGGAAAATGCACACACACACGGGGAGAGGTCCCTCTCCACAGGCCTGCACGCTCCGTGAATAACAGGCCGTGGCGTCAGAGGCCACTGGCTTCACCACTGGGCTTGTCATCCACGTGCTCGGGGATCCTGGCGAGCCCCGTACCCTTCCTGAGTTGCAAATTTGTTATCTAGAACAGGGAGATCACCGAGGGGGGGGTGTCTTTGGAGAATTAAACACCACCCCTTCTGTAAGGGACTTGGCACCCTCTAGGTGCTTCACACACAGGAGGCCCGCGCCGTCGAGGGTGCAAAGAGGCAAATGGATGAGTGAGCAGCCCCCGGTCTAGTCAAAACAACACTGGGGTTCATTTCGGTTTTGAAAGCACTGATCTGCCAGGACAAGTCTACTCCTGCTCCCCTGTGCTATCTGAGATTATCTGGCAGTTCTGTCTGCAACACGCTGGCTTTATTTACACGTTTCAGATTGAACCGGGGGATGTGGCGCTAACACAGTTTAGCAGACGCGACGGTGCATCTGCGGCCGCCACCGGGTCCCTCCGAGGAGCAGCAGCGATTCATTCAGAGAGACAGACCCGCCGCCACCTGGGCTCCCATTTTCCTTCACATCAGAGGCTTCTGATCATTGGAGGGAAATGAGTAATAAAAATTAAAAAAATAGCAATGGCCACTGGCAAACAATGTAATTGTGGCTAACAACATAGTTTTAGGTTTTGAGGAAGGAAGGATTGTACTTATTGCGAATTTGAGCACACACAGAGGCCTAAGTAAAATTCACATGGTTTAGGGTCTAGCTTGTGAGCCAAGCCAGTGTCGCTATCTAACGGGAGAGAGGGAAGCAGGGAACTGTTCAGATCCAGAATTGCAATTTCATAATGTTCCTCCGTGTCACAGAAAGATAGACTGGACCTTGTCGTAAGAAAAATAATGACAATGGCAGCTCTGTAACCTAAGCATGTATGTTATATAAAGATAAAGGCAAGATCACCATGCTTTCATGGTCTATTTGTGTCTAAAATGTCAAGAAAAACCTGAATTTTTAGGCTAAGTTTTGTAAACAGTTGAATTAAGAACAAATAACAGCCCAGCCGGCGTGGCTCAGCGGTTGAGCATCTACCTCTGAATCAGGAGGTCGCAGGTTCGATTCCCGGTCAGGGCACAGGCCCGGGGTGCAGGCTGGATCCCCAGTGGGGGGTGAGCAGGAGGCAGCCGATCCAGGACTTTCATCATTGATGTTTCTCTCTCTCTCCCTCTCCCTTCCTCTCTCTGAAATCAATAAAAACACATTTTTTTAAAGTGTGCCTGTGTTGTAACAGAGTTGTCCTTTCTTTAAAAACAAAAATGAAATAAATCAAGAAGCAAATATTTCCTTCTTCAAGGCCCTGTTGTTCTCCTCATGTCTCTAGTGAGTACAGGACTGTGAGAGAGAATCAACACCATAGCAATTTACAAGTAAGACATAATTTTATAATCAGTATGTGACTTTAAACCCTGCCTTCCTGTTCTGACTTAGGAAAAATTCTCCTTTCTCTTTAATTACCTAAGCAAAACCAGAGTCACAGCCCTGAAAATTAACTGTATCAGGAAAACTCTTTTTGCCGTGCTTAAAAATTGAGTATTTGTCACAAGCTGCACAGGAGTCCCAAAAGGCAGCAATGCAAAATATCTATCTCAAGATCTCCCCAGGAATGTCAGCTATCTCGAGCAAATATGCAAAAATATAACTTGCGACTGCAAACGGGAGTGTGTTTGGTCTGTTTCATCCCACCGAATATTAAAAGCCTGCAATTTGAAAACTTGAAAACATTATAAACATCAGAAATAGATTGAGTGGCATTTAGCATGAAAAAAAAAAAAACCCCTCTCAACATCTGTCATAACAAAGAACAAGACGCAGTGTTTCTGATATACAAGATTAAAAAGTGTTCTTTGGGGATCCTGGCTGAATGCACTGGGAACTGTCTGCAGGCGTCTTCCCATGGGATGTGTTGTGCGTGCATGGGACACGGACACGGACACACACACACACACACACACACACGCAGCCAGCTCCACGGTGCATGCCTTTGCAACGAGGGAAAGGAAATCAGCCCTCTTTCAGGAGAGCCCTTCCCTCTCCAGTAGTACGTCTGCTTTGGGAAATATAAAACAGACTGTTTGGATTCCGAATCAATGTAATTTCTAAGTGGTTTGAAACTACTCTATCTGTTCATTACACACAGCGTTTCCACGCTGACAGGTATTTACCAACATGCGTTTTTGGCTCCAACATTTCATTAAGTTCCGCTGAGCCAACTGACAGATGCCAGGCCTGTGACCACAAGGCAGGGGGGCTGGTGCTTTTCTCTAACTGTAACTGCTAAACGTGAGGAGCTGGGGTTGCCGACTGAGCTGTGCGCCCTTTAGTTTTCTTTGCCGTGGGGAAGGAAGGGTGGAAGAGAAAATAGTTATGTGCCCAAGCAATGAGATAAGAAATTCTTATTACCCTAAGCCTGGGCTCGAACATCAGCCCCTCTAGCTTTCCTGACTCACCCACCACTTCATCTCCACGGCCCAACACAATGAACGAACTTGGATAAAAGCAGCATCACATTCTGATTATTGACTTTGAGCACCTGGTTTATAGTTGCAATCTTTGTACCTGTAGAGGGTCTCATGCAAAGAAAATACTCCATAAATGTGTAATAATGCAGAAAATAAACCAATACACGAATGACATCTTTCCTCCATCACGATGTGGCACAGTCACAAACAAATGTGACTGAGGTCAGAGGAGCTGGATTTCAGTCTTGCTACTATCCTAGCAAGTTCATTTCTCTTCATTTGGGTTTGTT